GCCCTAGCAAGCGCGCGTGCACCAGGTGAAGGAACGCCGAGTCGAGTTAGGTAGGCACCTGCGCGCATGACACCGCCAGTGTGCGCTTGCGACCGGTGAGAAAGTACACTCACGGCTGCGTGTTTGCGCAATTATGCCTCGCAGGGACTTGGGACTGTGAGACAGAATGAACCCAAGTGGTGACAGTTATATATGCTTCGAAATTGGGTCAGAAATACGGAAGATGCCGGAGTGGGCACAAGTAGTTGCTCAGAGGGCAACGAGGTTGGTTACGGACAAAATATTTATCGGACTCCTTACCAGCTTTGACGTTACACAATCATTCATGTTACATACTTGGTATACCGACACCAAAGACCTCGTCATAGCCCACGGGGTGATAAACGAGTGATGATATCAAAAAGAAAAAGAAAAAAAAAGAAAAAGAAAAGAAAACATTGACGGATGCAGTTCTTAGAAGCGCTGTTGAGTTAGATCGTGAAGAGTGCAAAATAACATCCATTTGCGTCTCCTTCTCGTTTCATAGGCGCCTGGCTACTGTACTGGTTGCTACAACATGATCGTCAATTCGTTTTCAAAATAAAAAGCTGCCTTATGACCACTGAGTCAATCTATATCACCAATGACTATGAAGAATGGCACCCTAGATTATTTGAACATCAACGGAAACTAAATGGAGGACCCTTTTTTTTTTTTTTTTTTTTTTTTTTTTTTTATTTCATTACTCGCGTGCCGCCTAACAGGCTATGGCGGAGGACCCATTGACACTTGGTGGCCATTCTCGAAACTAAACCAACACGATTCAAAGCTCGCCTGGCAGAGTTAATGGATGATTCATTTTTCTTGTTCGTTTCCTTCCTGGAGGGGAGACTTTAGTACAGTCGACATGAACTCGGGTCTGTCGTGACTTGTTGCACGTTGCAAGGAATTATTGCACGCTGCAAATGTAAATCGCGACTCTGGATTGGCAGTACATCACACGTACGGTAGACGCTGCCTGCAGAAGTATGCAACGTTCAAATATGGGAGGCCCGAGTGGCTGCCGATATTTTGAAAAGCCCGACTGGCGGAAAAGCCTCTGACGGGTATCCAACAAGATGCGCCAACCTTCGCCATATATTGAAGTCACCATCGAATCGTCATTCATAACTTATTCGGTACTAGCGCACAAAAAACTGTACCCGTACCATGACCTAAGAAAGATGCAATGAATGTCGAACTTTGCATGCACAAATGTGCTATTAGGCGCATGTCACCACTCAAAAGCCGTGGAGCACCATGCAGGAGCACGCACGATGTCACAAAAGCGCCATCTTTCTTTGCATTTCTCACACGGGCGCAGTTATCGAGAACGGGTCGCCTCCGGTGCGCGTGGGCATTCCGATCGCATTAGGTAACCCCTACAGCTCCTGCCTGTGGCTTGACCTGTTACATCACCGACTCGTGAGTCCCCTGATATCTTGCTTTACGTTGCATGTGTTGTCACAAGGAGATTTAGATATAAAATCTCCGATGCTGCGGGAAAAAGAGTGATTAGTTGGTATGCACCCGGCGTATCAGTTACGGCGTGCAATACAAGAACCATGGTGTTATGAGATATGACGCCAATTTGGCCCTCTTACTCTCCATTGTATATCACTAGTCACAACGGGCGCAGCACTCCTCGATTGCCATAGCCTGCAGTACGTGTAGCAATATGAGGAAAATGCATATCTAGTTGTGTTATGGTTCTAAACGACATTCTACTAGTTGCAAGCTTTTGCCTTCTTTTCTAGACCGACCTTTGTATTTTTTAATGCTCCAGATGTCATTCAATATGCAATAATGGAGCCCCACAATCAATGGTGAATGAAATGACAGCAGCTTGTGTTTGCCACCTCCTGAAAGTGCTTGGTAATTTCCTTCTCTTCCAATCACCGACGGGACGGAAATAGGGCGGATCTGGATTCCCTCTATATTTATAGACAGTGAATTTTGATTTATATTATATAATAATTATTTTTAATTATATATATAATAAAATCAAAAGAGGAGCTCCAAGATGAGCAGAAGATGGCCTAAAAACGAATTGCCATCTAGGAAGGGTATTTTCGTACGTTAGCATTTGATAGACACACATCCTAGATGTGCCGCACTCAGCACGCCCAACAGGCTCCGAGTTCCTGGATAGGTACCTAGCACGGCGGGCCATGCGAGTGCGCATTGACCCGGCCTTGATGGCAACGAGACGATCGGTGGCAGATCGATGGTTAGTCTGGTTACCGATAGCCTATCAATCCTATCAATTCGAATCAAGTTGTCTAATGAAGTATTACTATCCAAAAAGGAATCTAGGGTCGAACTTCAAGCTTCGCCACATGGTTGGTAAATTGATGTGCGGGAATTGATACTTCGGTGATGGATAGTTTGCCATAGACTAGCAATCCTTGTCTGCGTTTGCCCATCCGTACCAAACATTTTGACAACAACCTGGCCGCGGGTGTTGCGTGTTCTCAGATTCAAGTGGCTTGTGGATTCCACTAACATCCAGTTTGCCCCTAAGAATGGCTTGGTTAGATGACCTTGGTTCTACCATGAAGATCGATTTGATGTGACAACTTCGTGACACACACGATAGTCACTGCACTTTTTTCCTTTCACCTAAATGTGTTACAAGTCGAAAGCTAATCCAGTTTATCGTATATCCACAAACTTGGTACAGGAATGCAGGTCAGCCTCAGAAGTATTGGTATTTCCATTTTTGGCAGCTGTCATTGAAAAGCATATGAGGAAAAAAACATTATATCAGCTCATATTGTCATCGTGAGGATGGGTCTCCGTTTGAAGTTTCGTAATCACCTATTCATGCTTACTTCCCACTCGCCTGAAGGATAATGTAGAGCAGAAAGGATTGAGACATAGGACACGACATCCGGCATATCTAACTGCAAGGATATAAGTTGTGAGGGCCAATTCAAAACCAGTGGGACTTACTAGCCATTCACATACTATACTGATGAAGCTCCGCGGGACATGATGCACCACGAGTAAAACACCAGTATCCAATGAAGCGTTTCGCCTACTAATATCAGGCCATCTCACGTCAATGCTTTGCAGATGAAGTGCGAATACAATCTGGTTGGCACGATCGCCGGCCATATGAGCAGGAGGCTTTCACCATGTCTGTATGTTGTTGAGAATACCACATCACCAGGCCCGCCTCCATAGCACCAACTTCATTGGTTGGATGGCAAACGGCATGGTCTAATTGTGCTCAATTGATACCGATGAATACACTTCCGCAGTACTGTAGTCTCGTGACCTCAGTCTCCGCAGCACAGCAACGCAACAAGCATTTTTCTGCGAAATTGTTGGAGCTGGTCGCAGTGACCGCACTCCGTGGGAAGAATGAACTCGGATGTAGGCGGATATTGCAAGTTACGCCGGCCGTGCGCTGTCCAAAGGTGCTCTCGCACAGTTTTGATACTCAATGCAATATTTTGGCGCTGTCCCACCAGTGTTTGTCAAGAGAGCCACTAGTTGTTTATCGCCTGCATACAAGCTTTACCAAATCCAGAAGGGAGTGGCGGCCAAGCCGGATAGACTTGTATGATCGAGATAGGCAGCTCAAGATGCGGGGCACAACTCTTAGTACGGGTAACAGTCACGTACTTAGTTGTGAAGAATAATGGCCGGCAATCTGGAACTGCAAGGCCCCGTATTCTCTTGACATGCACAGTATCTAAGAATTACACCAAGAAAACCTCTTATCGCTGAAGTCAGTGCCTTGTAATTGGCTGCAGGAGGAACATTAACATTGAATGCTGAGCGGAAGACGTTAACATTCCTGTTGTGCCATTCTTTTCGAGATGTAGCAGTCTTTGCCCATGTTAATGCTAGGCCAGGCTCATATTATTATCCGACCAGGACGCTTATTTTTTTACCTTCTGCCGCCTAGCTGGCGGAACGAAAATTGGCCTGATGTCAATTGCAATTCAAACTCAGAGAAAACAAAGCCTTGTTAGCGAGTAGCATCAAGAGCGGAGACTTTACTTCACTCACCACTGGCAATTGACACCTATCAGAGACGTGGAGTGCAATATTGAAAGAGCTTTCATTCTAACTCTCAGAGAGTTTTGTATGTTTTCTCTCAGCCACCTGAACTAGCATAATTTCATGCGTGGTTTTATCCGGAGGCTACTATCAGAAATTTAGCGAAGAAAACAAATCATACCTAAGTCACAGGCCTAAGCGCCGAAACACTGATAATTTTTTTTTATTTTTTTTTTATATCATTTATCGCTTACCGAAACACTGATAATGTCGCCAGCAGCACGCCAGCGCACGCGGTGTACAGTAGCTTTGACTAGAAGTACTTGGTCGGGAAACAAAAATAGAACCAAGTTCGGAATCAGATAGTGAGGCGACCACTTTCAGACAGCAACTAACCACTCAAGAAAGGCACAAGCATAACGTTTGGGTCATGAGGATCATGAACTGTGGGGACTCTCAGTCATTTGCTTGTACATTGATGCAAGTATGTATTCGGTAAATTCGTGTTTTCAAACAAAGCGACCGACCGTCTGCGTGGATGTACGGTTTTCAGTAAACGGCTCTGGAGTGAATTTTTTTTGCTTTTTTTTTTTTTTTTTTTTTTCATATCATTACTCGCATGCCGGGAGGAGTGGACGATGTAACTGGAAGAGTAATCGCATGTGGCAAAGAACTCAGCCTTGGCAACAATAGCTAATGGAGAACAGGATTTTTTTTTTTTTTTTTTTTTTTCACGTGATCCCGCTTGCAGCTGCTCGCCATGGCAGGGCTGGAATCTAGAACAGGATAAGAATATGAAGTAGATCATCGAGAGAATGGATATGATTTGCAGCGCAGGTTGTGCTTACTGTATTCTAGGACGCGGGTGTAACTTTAATGTGTAATCGTGGGATGTTGATGGAGGTGGCTTTGAAGTGGACAATCTATTAAATCTATATATAATTATTGACAATTTTGATCTAACAATATCCGTCGTGGTGTAGTGGCTAGCATTTGAGACTCTCATCTTCTACATTATGTAGGTGTGCACTCTCAGAACCCGGGTTCAATTCCCGGCGACGGAAATACATTTTTGTTTTATTCCTTTTTCAATCATTTACTTTTATGCATACTAAGAACTTAGAAATTGTGTCCAAAACATCCAAGAGATTAAGTTACTAAAATACAGTAGGTACCAACGTATTTCCACGATATCCTCGTGTGTAAAAAGTTCAACATGGAATTTGCTACTTTTACAAGTTGATTAATCTTCAGAACTCGGTACATTGCTATGTAAGAAGCACGATAACCACTCGAATCCCCAGACCAGCATGGTGCTATAACAGGTATAACAAACCTTTTGCTGCTGCATGATATTTATACTGTGTTCTATAAATTTACAGGAACTGAAGATATTCCGGTATACGCAAATCGGGGCTTATCACATTCAGCAAGAGTTTTCCTCCTCCGCTTTACTGAAGTATTTGCTAGATGTCGTCTTCGGATCTGTCTTGTGAAAAGCCTATTTCAACATCATCTGCGAGGGATAGTAAGTACAACCAAAAGAATCTTGTAGCATGCCAATATTGCAAGGAATTGTGAAAGCTCCAATCAGCTTCGCGATTTAAACTTCATCCCGCCAGCCAATCGGAATCGCAGCAGTTTGTGAAATTGATGTTATCGCCTTTACCCTTATTAAGTTTGTTCTCATCAGTTGGTTTGCGTCGACATCTTCTTACTTTTCCGCAACATCAGAGCCTAATGTTGAACGGAGACTAATGTATATTTGTTCGGGGCCAGCCATCTTAGCGGGCCACTCATGACTGGCCCAGGCCAGCCATGCGAAAACCAATGGCCCGGGCCAGTATTCCGCATTCCGAGATGAGTGGCCCGGGCTACTGGTCAGAATTCCGAATAAATACCCTGCGTACTTGAGTGGAAAATTTGCATTTATCGCCGCCCTACAGAGAACCAGACGTAGCCGCTCCCGTTGTCTGTCTACACTCCTCTACCGCTTGCATCTCTTCTCGACCTGTGCAGGTTCAAACACCACTCAAAAATGCAGCAGCCACGTACCTGTTCACCTTCTTGTCATCCTGATGTGGAATGCCGAAATCAGGCTAAAGAAGGGTCAGATGATGAGGCGCATCAAGAGGAAGATGATGATGTTCATAGTACTATTCATGTCAGTTAAGAAATGATGTACTATAAAGCGGCAACATCTCCATTCATGTATCTAATTATGCATATTGGCTCGTTTTGGTCTTTTATCCTTGTAAATTGGCCAGTGGCCCGCTTTCAGTGAGGAGTAGCCCAGTTATCGACTGGCCCGGGCCAGTCATGAGTGGCCCGGATAAGATGGTTGGCCCCGAACATATTCATGGGCCAGACAAAACAGACAAACGCAGAAGTTGTGGTTACAATAACAGGTATACTCAAGCCTTGCTTACAACTTCAAAGTGGCAGACAAGCACCCAGAGGACAAATACTATATAGGATATGTGGTTTTATCGCAGTAACAGAGCTTCAAGGATGATGAGGTGGAAGCCATGAGCCAGGATCTCACAATTTTTTTTTTTTTTTTTTTTTTTTTATATCATTAATCGCAGGCCGCCCTAAGGGCTATGGCGATGTTGTGCTATATAGAAAAAAAAAGGTTATAACACGACGACAGAAACATTCCCGCCAAAAAGCCCCAATCCCGACCTATTCTATCTACATGTCAGGATCTCACAAGTGAGATCGAGTCATCTACTTTGAGATTCTCCATTTTAAATATGATCATACCGAGAGATGGGGTAGTTCGTTTTGCAGTCTATAGAAGGGGATACTTCACTGCTGCGGAGGCAACTCTTTTGAACTTACTGCCCTTATACACCCATAACCAACGGAGTATATGGGCTCTCTGCCATTGAAAACAGGAATTTGAGGAAGCGAGGAGGACGAGGCATGGGATGGAAAGGCATTGCTTGAAGCCGCTAGCGCTTTGGTATTTGTGATAAATGAGAAAGGGGAATTTGGTGGCCGTGGGAATTGGTTTTTCTTTGTAGCGGTGAGTTGCAAAAGCGATGGGAATGCGCGAAGGTAAGCAAGATGAATTCTCGCGTTTCTCGTACGGTTGTTGCAAGCTGAGCCGCTGCCGAACTGTCTGAGATGGATTAGAGGCAGTGGATCACGGATTTCACCGCATTCAAACAGAGCCCCATTACCAACTTTGGAGAAACGCTTTTGCTCAGCGTGGTCCACGGGAACTAGTATCTCAACGCTCGGCATCAAATAACATGATACCACCACAAAGGCCTAAGTATTAGGCTGGGATACTAAATGATATTTGGACAGACCAGGAATTCCAATATACGGCAGCCAGAGGGCGCTTGAAATTGCCCGGCGAGGAAAGTTAGTACGAGTTTTCGTTGGTATCTGCCTAAACTTGAGTTTGCAATTTGTCAGTAGTTGGATTCTGTGTACTTCCTACAGGCTTTGGTGAGTTGTTAATGGTAAATTGAGTACAGCTCGCAAGGTTTTAAATCGCGGATTGCCGCAGTTGGGGGTGGATAATCCAAGTGTGGAACTAACAAGGCAGCAGCTAGGTAGTTAGTAGGTAGGTATACTCGGATACGGTCTTGGAGGCGGAAAGCAGGAATTGAGTGCAACATAGTTAGTTTAACATGGCTATGTGGATTTAGTCCACCCTTATCCATCCAAACTTACCTACATTTACGCAGCTGCATAGCCGTGCCATGGCGAACAGCTGCAAGCGGGGTTACATGATGTATTTAAAAAAAAAAAAAAAAAAAAAAAACCCAGCTACATTATTTCTAGGCACAAAAGCAAGAAGTACATAGGTTTTTAATACAGGTAATTAAATACTAAAGAACAAAAGACTTACAATTTTTCAATCAGCCCAAGTTATGTTTGCGATGGGACTAACATTACCCTGAAGCAGGGTTCCGCATTTTCAAGCTCTTTTGCATCATTTCGACGGAAGAGGGATTCTAAAACGTGAAAAAACAGCACCGCGGTGTGAACAGAGGCTGTGCGGAGAGGGTAGGACATACTACCTCTGGCTCTTGTTTCCAATCCTTGCAGAGAGCCATTGTGGAAAGCAAATCTTCTAGTAGCACTCGAACTCGCTTGCATGTCGATAAGCGAGGGTTTGAGCATATTGCTAATTAATGGGGCATGTTTTCCCAAATAGAGTTGACCGCATCGCCGAAATATGCTTTTTTTGCGGAGTATAAAGGGGTAATAAACTCAAAATCGCTATTTGACATTGACGCCGCTTGCACGTTAGTCTCGTGACCACTTACCGAACTCTGGAGTAAACTTTTCTTAACGAAAATGTTTCCTACTTCGAATTCCGACAGCGTTGCCAGCCTATTTGGCGATATTCGCTCCCAGTCTCGACTTCCTGCTGGAGACAACTTTCTTTTCATTGTAATACAGTCCTCGCGAGTCTCTTTTTCGGAAGCACCATAACCCAAAAACAGGATATGTGATGCCGAGCTCGTTTCGACAGTATATATAGAACTTGCCTACTCCAGATTTCCCCAACCTGGTTGGAGCCTGTGGAGGGGTTGTGGAGTGCTGCTGCGCAATTACGTATTCATATGCGTGCGGAATTGACATATTTGGGAAGTATATCTTGGTATAATTTTGTGACTGGGTCGCTTGTGGATGATGTTTGCTGATGAGATAGCTGAGGAGCTAAAATGGAATCGGGACTGAAGAGAAGTGAACTCGGGAGCCCAAGAAGTGATGACGATAGGGATGAGCACAAGCTGAAGTACTGCGAGCCGGCGTGGGAGTGGAGATATCCTGGCTAATGTTTTTTTTTTTCTTTTTTTATAATCATTACTCCATTGCTAGCCTTCGACTGCACGGGGACCAAAGAGGGCCTGGCACCGTGTCGTGAATGAGCATGCACGAGGATTGTATCTCGTGCACACGTTGTGAGATCTCGCCATAGCCCATAGGGCGGCGTGCGAGTAATGATATTAAAAAAAAAAAAAAAAAAAAAAAAAAAAAACACGCTCTGAGATGATTATGCGGTGCGGACACTGTGAGCCCAACGCCGGGGTGGGGTGTTGCCGTAATCTCCTGCTCACCTAGGAGTAGCATATTCCAAAAAGCTGCTGAAAGCGTACTTCTCTGCAACCTGGCCTCTTGGATGCTGAGACCAAATGTCAACATGATCGGCGCTGTCGCTATATGAAAGTTTACTTCCCTTGATGAACTCTGCTAATAGCTGCTACTGTTTTATTGATTCAGTCGATCACCCGCCACAGCAGAAATCTAAACGCTCCAAAGCAAATACTATACCCCCAGTCAAAAGCTTGTTGCTTGTTTTCTGCAGCTCGCGTAGCTGACATTTCCATATCACGGTTAGCTCTCCATGTATTCTAACTCAGCATTTATCAAAATGCTGATGTGATTGACCGATAGTAGCGCCCTTCCTCGCTTGCTGGTGAATTCTGTTGACTTGAACTGCGGTTTCTGAAGGTCGTAATGGGCGGCGCCTAGACACCCACCTTTCTAGAGTTTTGGATAGATATTAATGTGTTAACCACAAACGTTAATTTCCAGGTAAGAAAACCTCAAAATTGGCGGATTTTTGTATAAAGAATGTGAACTTTGACCTTTTATCTCTTTCCCTCATCAGAATTCAGCTCTTCAACTCAACCTACCACAGTCTTATCAGACAATATTTCCTTTCGAACATTTTTTTGCTTCAGCACCAACGAGCGACCCAGGGCTCTTCAGTTTCATTCCTTCTTCGCACTTGCTCTGTCAATCCGCTCTTTCTTTTCTGAAGCCTTGTGGACTTGGTATCTGCGGCTTACCACCCTTATGAAGACTCTGTCCGCCTACATTCTCTTCTGATTTGCAGCTTGAAACCTGCTTCTAACCGCTTGGTAGCAGTTCTAATTCATCTTTGGCTCCAATCCTTCGAGCTTCAACTCCAATCCTTCGAGCTTCAAGAGAGCTTCAGCGCTGTCCGGGCTTTGCAGGCCAAAGAGAAGACAATAGTCTCTCCCCGGCCATCAACAACCTCCTCCTCCTCCTCCTCCTCCTCCTCCTCCTC